CCCATGTCCCACCTGCTCCATTTTGAGGAGGAAGGCATCTAAAAAGTCTTGGGGTTCACTTGTAGGATCGAAGGTCCTCTCACGATCTTCTACCTTCTGGGCTATGAAGTCCTGGATGCCAAACAAGTTTGTGAAGAAGGTTTGGTGAGGGCCAGGCAAATAGTCCATGATCCTGGGGAAGATGTTGTAGAGCTGAAGGAGAAAGAAAGAAAGAAAGAAAGAAAGAGAATGAAAATGAGGTGGATCCCCAGATCAGGGGGTGAGTCTGAATCTGTTCAGTGAGTTAAATCCAGCTGCTTAGTGAATGTGATCCAACTCTTTAGTGAATCACATCCAACAGGAGCCAACGGTTTAGTGCACTGGTTCCCACCTTTTGTCCTCCATTTGTTTTGGACTACAGCCCCAGTTAACTTGGTCAACGTTCAGGAATGATGGGAGCTGAAGTCCAAATCATCTGGAGGACCAAAGACTGGGAACCACTGGTTTATTGAATTAAATCTGCCAGAAACCATGGTCCACTCAGCCTGCCCTGAAATGTCCTGGCCAAATTGGACCACCAAGACCACTTATGTAGTTGAGCTTCCTCAGGAATTATCAATCAAGGCTAAGAAATATTAACATCCCAAATCTATGAAGCACCGGGACAACCAAAATTCACAAAATACGTCATGCAAGCTTTTGAAACTCCCCTGGCTTCTTCATCAGGCAAAGGTGTTAAAAAAACAACATAGGAAATTTTAAATGCCTTTTAAAACACTGTTTTGTCACAGTTTTGTGGATTTTGGATGTTGTTGTACAATAGGCCCTTGGTATCTGCTGGGGGTTTGGTTCCAGGACCCCCCATGGATACCAAAATCCATGAGTGCTCAAGTCCCATTGAATACAATGGATAGTACAATGGTGACCTATACATAAAATGGCAAAATCAAGGTTTTCTTTTTTGGAATTTGTATATTTTTTGGAAATTTCTAAGCCATGGATGCTTGAATCTGTGAATAAAGAATCCATGGATGCAGAGGGCTGGCTGTATTTTGCTGTATGGCCACCACATTTTTTTCAAACAAGGTATTTTCAAAAAAGAAATATTAAGAGAATGTTTGTTGTTGAGCCCTCCCAGGAATATGAAAGGCTTCCTGCAATCCATCCTATATGGGCTTTGTTGTTCTTGTGTGTCTTCAAGTCATTTCCGACTTATGGCGACCCTAAACTGGAGCTATCATACGTTTTCTTGGCAAGATTTGTTCAGAGGAGGTTTGCCTTTGCCTTCCTCTGGGGCTGAGAAAATTTGATTTCCTGAAGGTCACCCAGTGGGTTTCATGGCCAAACGGGGATTTGAACCCTAGTCCCCAGCATTGTAGTCCAATGCTCAAACCACTACACCAATCTGGCTCTGGCAGTGTGCATTTACTTGGGAGTAAGTGACTCTGAGCACATGGAGGGGACTTCTCAGTACCACACAGTATGCTCACAAGTGGGGATATGATGATCATTCATTGCAGCTTAGTAAACATATGGATTTTTGTTTTCTTGCCCCCTTTAAATTTTTATTTACGAGCCACAAATTGTGCCACCTTTTCAAGCTAGGGGTGAGAATCTTCAGATTCTCTGCAAAACCATTTGCAAATGAATGGGCAAGAATGTCCATTTGACATTTGATGTTCTGGATGGTTTTATGGTTTTATTGCTTCAAGTACTAAATTGAACCGTTAAGAAATTCCCACCCGCAACTGGAATGGGTGAGCCTTGCCCTTCACTTGCAGGGAGAATGGTGAATCTATTTCCTGTCCTTCTCCAGGGACAAGAAGCATTTTGACAGCAATCTACATCCCCTACACAAGTGTTTGTATATTTATGCATGTTAGAATGACAATGGATGGGAAAAGTAACTTACACTCTTCCCTCTGCAACTACCTGCAAGGAGACAAATTTAGTATCAGCCCACCTACCAATGATGAGCTACCCACGATGTAAAAACCATTCCCCGCCAGAAGCCATGGCCAAAAATGGAAAGAAAGTGGGATGACAGAGGATTCATTGGGACTGTCCCTGGCAAATTGGGGCATTTGGAGGGTTTGGCTAAGGGCCCCTCGGCTGATACCTGTTGGGCAGGACTTTGTTAGGTTTGGTTTCAGAGAAAGGCCTGTTCTGCCCAAAAGCAAGGGAGGTTTGATATCCTAGCAGTTTTTGTCTTTCTGTGTTCTTGTCAAGAAGGAAGGGACCCAATTCCTGAACAATTCCACCCTTCAGACCTCCATTGTTTAGGAATGTTAACTTTTATGGACTGCAAGCTTCTTGATCCTGCAGCTAGGACAGTCATCCGGGGACTGTGGAACTTGCAGTCCAAAAAACAATCTTTCTGCTGTGCAACCCTGCATCTCCCAACTCGGAGCTGCTTTCTGTCCCTTTGGTGATTCCTCGGTTCTCGTCCTCCTCCTCCTCCTCACCTGCCCAGAGACAGAGCTCTCCAGCCGGAAGCTATCCATGAGCTGGCGGAGGATTCGCACAAAGTCCTTGTCCTGGTAATCGAACCGCTCTCCCAGGAGGATGTGGCTGACCACGTTCCCCGTAGCGCAGCTGAAAAGGGTGCCTGGGTTGATGGCCTGGCCTGGCAGGGAGGAGAACAGAGATGGTAGTGGATGCTCATGGCAGGAGTTGCAGTCTTGGTCTCAGGCTGCATCTGCACTGCAGAGTTAACACAGTTTGACACCACTTTCACTGCCATGGCTCCATGCGATGGAATCCTGGGATCTGAATTTTGTGAGACAGCAAGCCTTCTCTGTCAGAGAGTGCTGGTGCTGCAACAAACTACAAATCCCAGGATTCCATAGCATGGCGCCATGGCAGTCAAAGTGGTGTCAAAATGCATTAATTCAGCAATGTGGCAGCAGCTTAAGTCTCTTGAGTCCAGGGCTTGAATCCCCACATGGCCCTGGAAACCCAGTGGGTGACCTGGGCAAGTCACATCCTCTCTGCCTGGAGGATGGCCATGGAGGATGGCCAACCTTGCTGAGAAAAGCCTTAGGATCACCATGACTTGGGGGCACGTAAAAACATTTTGTGAATCCATTGTCACCAGTGGAGGCTTCACCCTTTTAGGGAGCCTGGATGAGTCAAGGGGGGATGTTGAGAAGCTGGAGTGTGTCCAGAAGAGGGCAACCAAAATGGTGAAAGGTCTGGAAACCACCAAGCCCTATCATGAGCAACTTAGGGAGCTGCTGGGTATGTTTAGCCTGGAGAAGAGATGATAGCCCTGTTTATGTATTTGAAAGGATGCCATATTCAGGATGGAGCAAGCTTCTTTTCTGCTGCTCCAGAGAACAGGACCCAGAACAATCAATGCAAGCTACAGGAAAAGAGATTCGAGCTCAACATTCGGAAGAACATCCTGACAGTAAGAGCTATTTGAGCATGGAAGAAGCTGCCTTGGAGACTGTTGGAGCCTCCTTCTTTAGAGGTTTTTCAACAGAGTCTGGATGGCCATCTCTTGGCAGTCAAAGGAGATTGGACTGGATGTGGTCTCTTCCAACCCAACTCTATGATTCTATGGTTCTATGATTGAATAAGGCTTTGGGCCAATATGGCCAAGGGTCACACATTGCCCATCCCTGCATTAAAGGCAATGCTTATTGCCTCCAACAAGCTTGATAAAAACATTTTTTCTTCTCCAGCCATCAGACTTTAAGCCCATGTTTACCTTCCTGAGACCAAGCTAAAGGAGAAGTACGTAGGTGAGGGCAATCCCGTGCTATTGCAAACTGACATCTTTCACTACTTATCATCTTTACTTTCTCTTTAACTCTTGTCTCTTCTAGATGCATGTCATGACTGCTAGATTTATGCTTTCTTCCTCCCCATGCCCCGAGATGAACCCTACTTTCTCTTTTCCCCATCTAGAAAGAAGCAGGAATCACATTATCCTAAAGGATGCCGGAGCAGACCTCCATACATAGAAGTTAGCTTTAGATGCTTCTGTCACCAACTCTGAATTCCACAATCCACCGAGGGGAAAAAAACTTATTTTTCAAAAAATTTCCTGAAACAGCAAACAAAGTTTTCCATTTACTTCAGAAGAAGCACCCTCTTTAATAGCCCTGACTTCACAACATTAAA